TTTTAAGTCGCGTTTAAAAAACAAAAACACATTTTCTTAAGTCCGTTTAGTCTATTTAGCTCCCCCTTCTCTCTAGGCCTTTCTTAACCCGAATCATAGCAGGGCGCCGTGAGACGTGAGTGGAAGGCGCCTTACAAATAAATGTGAATCACAATTATTATGAGTATTGTTATTGTTGCTTCGTACGCAGGGTACGTGGCAGTGTCCGGCGCGAGTCTGGCGTCGTCAACCTTCGCGCGCTGCCCCCTCCTTGAGAGAAGCGCTCCGTGCGGAGTGGGCAGCTTGTGGGGCCCGCGGCTTCCCCGCAGGCTGCCCGCTACGCAGCGGTGGGAGACGCGGGGAGACGCGGGGAGACGCGGGGAGGCGCGGGGAGACGCGGGGAGACGCGGGGAGACGTGGGGAGACGCGGGGAGACGCGGGGAGTTATTTTAGACCCGAGCTGGTGACGGCGCAGATTGTTCCGCGGGAGGCGACTCGCACTGACAGCGGACACAGAGTCGGCGCCGTCTCCAAGCGCCGCTCCGGACTCCACCCTCAACTCCACCCTCCACTCCACCCTCCACTCCACCACCTGTCCTCACAGACCACCATCCACTCCACCCTCCACTCCACCCTCCACTCCACCACCTGTCCTCACAGACCACCATCCACTCCACCCTCCACTCCACCCTCCACTCCACCACCTGTCCTCACAGACCACCATCCACTCCACCCTCCACTGCACCCTCTGTCATCACAGACCACCCTCCACTCCGACCCTCCTCTCTACCCTACAATCCACCCTCTGTTCTCACAGACCACCATCCACCCAATCCCACATTCAACTTTCCACTCCACTCGACACACTGCATCCTTCACCCAACTTGTATTTACCTTCAACGCTCCACCCTGAATTCCACATCCTGCACCCCACGCCCTGCACACCCTGTACTCCACACCCTGTACTCCACACCCTGCACTCCACACACTCCACACACTCCACCGGCTGCACTCGTTGTGTATTGCGAGAAGAGTGATGCCCACAAGGCAGCCACTGCTCCACGTGGCCACCGGCCTCGCAGGGAGTTCCTCGCGAGGCGAGTGAGGGGTCGAGAGACGTAGATACGTCGCGGAGGGCTTCAGTGGCGATGTGGAGGGTGCAGTGACAATGTGGAGGGTGCAGTGATGATGTGGAGGGTGCAGTGGTGATGTGTAGAGTGCAGTGGCGATGTGGAGGGTGCAGTGATGATGTGGAGGGTGCAGTGGTGATGTGTAGAGTGCAGTGATGATGTGGAGGGTGCAGTGGCGATGTGGAGGGTGCAGTGATGATGTGGAGGGTGCAGTGGTGATGTGTAGAGTGCAGTGGCGATGTGGAGGGTGCAGTGGCGATGTGGAGGGTGCAGTGATGATGTGGAGGGTGCAGTGGTGATGTGTAGAGTGCAGTGATGATGTGGAGGGTGCAGTGGTGATGTGTAGAGTGCAGTGGCGATGTGTAGGGTGCAGTGGCGATGTGGAGGGTGCAGTGATGATGTGGAGGGTGCAGTGGTGATGTGTAGAGTGCAGTGGCGATGTGGAGGGTGCAGTGGCGATGTGGAGGGTGCAGTGATGATGTGGAGAGTGCAGTGATGATGTGGAGAGTGCAGTGGCGATGTGGAGGGTGCAGTGATGACGTGGAGGGTGCAGTGGCGAGGTGGAGAGTGCAGTGGCGATGTGGAGGGTGCAGTGGCGATGTGGAGGGTGCAGTTGCGATGTGGAGAGTGCAGTGACGATGTGGAGGGTGCAGTGATGATGTGGAGAGTGCAGTGGCGATGTGGAGGGTGCAGTGATGACGTGGAGGGTGCAGTGGCGAGGTGGAGGGTGCAGTGGCGATGTGTAGGGTGCAGTGATGATGTGGAGGGTGCAGTGACAATGTGGAGGGTGCAGTGGCGATGTGTAGGGTGCAGTGGCGATGTGGAGGGTGCAGTGATGACGTGGAGGGTGCAGTGATGATGTGGAGATTGCAGTGGCGATGTGGAGGGTGCAGTGATGATGTGGAGGGTGCAGTGGCGATGTGGAGGGTGCAGTGGCGATGTGGAGGGTGCAGTGGCGATGTGGAGGGTGCAGTGATGACGTGGAGATTGCAGTGATGATGTGGAGGGTGCAGTGACGATGTGGAGGGTGCAGTGGCGATGTGGAGAGTGCAGTGATGACGTGGAGATTGCAGTGGCGAGGTGGAGGGTGCAGTGATGATGTGGAGGGTGCAGTGATGACGTGGAGGGTGCAGTGATGACGTGGAGATTGCAGTGATGACGTGGAGATTGCAGTGATGATGTGGAGGGTGCAGTGACGATGTGGAGGGTGCAGTGGCGATGTGGAGAGTGCAGTGATGACGTGGAGATTGCAGTGGCGAGGTGGAGGGTGCAGTGATGATGTGGAAGGTGCAGTGGCGATGTGGAGGGTGCAGTGGCGATGTGGAGGGTGCAGTGGTGACGTGGAGGGTGCAGTGGCGATGTGGAGGGTGCAGTGACGATGTGGAGGGTGCAGTGATGACGTGGAGGGTGCAGTGGCGATGTGGAGGGTGCAGTGGCGATGTGGAGGGTGCAGTGGCGATGTGGAGGGTGCAGTGATGACGTGGAGGGTGCAGTGGCGATGTGGAGGGTGCAGTGACGATGTGGAGGGTGCAGTGGCGATGTGGAGGGTGCAGTGATGACGTGGAGGGTGCAGTGACGAGGTGGAGGGTGCAGTGGTGACGTGGAGGGTGCAGTGGTGACGTGGAGGGTGCAGTGGCGATGTGGAGGGTGCAGTGGCGATGTGGAGGGTGCAGTGGCGATGTGGAGGGTGCAGTGGCGATGTGGAGGGTGCAGTGGCGATGTGGAGGGTGCAGTGGTGACGTGGAGGGTGCAGTGGTGACGTGGAGGGTGCAGTGGCGATGTGGAGGGTGCAGTGACGATGTGGAGGGTGCAGTGGCGATGTGGAGGGTGCAGTGGCGATGTGGAGGGTGCAGTGATGACGTGGAGGGTGCAGTGATGATGTGGAGGGTGCAGTGGCGATGTGGAGGGTGCAGTGGCGATGTGGAGGGTGCAGTGATGACGTGGAGGGTGCAGTGACGAGGTGGAGGGTGGAGTGATGACGTGGAGGGTGCAGTGGTGACGTGGAGGGTGCAGTGGCGATGTGGAGGGTGCAGTGGCGATGTGGAGGGTGCAGTGATGATGTGGAGGGTGCAGTGATGACGTGGAGGGTGCAGTGGTGACGTGGAGGGTGCAGTGACGAGGTGGAGGGTGCAGTGATGATGTGGAGGGTGGAGTGATGACGTGGAGGGTGCAGTGGTGACGTGGAGGGTGCAGTGACGAGGTGGAGGGTGCAGTGACGAGGTGGAGGGTGCAGTGATGATGTGGAGGGTGCAGTGGCGATGTGGAGGGTGGAGTGATGACGTGGAGGGTGCAGTGGTGACTTGGAGGGTGCAGTGGCGATGTGGAGGGTGCAGTGGCGACGTGTAGCTGTCTGGGTTTCGTGGCGATGTGAGATGACCTCGGGGCTTGTTGTGTCGCGGCGTTCCTACCGTGCAGCCCGTCCCACCAGCCCGCCGCCAGCCTCGCCACCCGCGACACCGCGGCAGCTGCGCGCCCTCTGCCCCCGCGGGACACTGGCAGCCCGGTGTGGATCTTCCCGTCCCGGCTACGTGCCGTCAGAGCCCCGTTGCGTTGACTCGCCGTACACTGCGGCTTTGTTCCACACCAGATACGCGGAGAAGGCCGCGCTCGGGTTGTTTGTCTGTTGGCTCGTTTTTTTTGTTCAAAATACGCAGAAGTTGTGACAGGTTTCGAGCTGGGAATGTGTTTATTAAACGATATAGACCTGACCTTTCGCGACGAGGCCGTCAGGAAGATTTGTTGGAGCGCAGAGCTTTTGAACGTGAACATCGAACCAGTCCCCGCAACAACGAAAAAACACCCTTCCCGCCCCCCTCCCCCTCTCGGGCGGCCTATCTGATATCGTGGGGGGGGGGGGGGGGGTCATAAATAATCTCGCTGTGGAATCTCGCAGTAGTCGCCGGCCGAGTCGCGCACGTCGATCGGACTTTACAAAAGTTCGTGAAAATAACGCAGCGCCCTCCCCACCACTCCTTGCGAGGGCGAGAGACGCTCAGGGTCGATATGCGGAGACGCGGCGTGTGGAGTGACAGGCAAATAAGTGCAGCGAGCAGGCGAATCTCTGAGGTCGCAGCCCCAACACGTGAAGCCGTATGCATCAGCAGCAGCAGCATGCGGGTTCAGGCGCTGCGATTCAAAGTCTCGCTGCTGGCATTGCTTCGTCTTCTGCTGCTGCTGCCGGAACATGCAGCAAAGAGTGCGTGTCGCTCTCCCAATTGCAAGCAATTCGAGGCATGTTCCACACAAAAAAAACCCGATCGACTGAACTACATTTTTACTTACAATGACCGATATCGATTAAAATCACCCTCGAAAATGTGTCGCGATTTACGCGAGCGCCGATGGGTACGGAGCGAGCGGATCTCCGGGGGTGGTGACGGGTGAGGGGTCGCCAAGGAAAACAACATCGTTGAGTTCACGCCATTGTCGCTGTTCAAGCTCGCGAAGACCTCGCGCTGCAGGCGGCCGTGCAGGACCAGGGCGGTGGTGGTGGTGGTGGGGGCATCGCTCGACGCGTGATGACCTCCATCCGAGCGAGGGAGACACGGAGCGCGGAGTCGTCCGTGGTGTCGGCAGAGACGAATTGAAGGTGGGGGGGGGGCAGGGAGAGAAGGATCCGAGGTTCGTGGGCGCTGCTCCGCGTTCGTGAATCCCGACAACGCTGGGCGGACTGTTTTTATTCTGCCTGTGAGAGCTTTGAGCGTGGAGTGCGGTGGGACCCCCCCCCCCCCCGGCTCGGCACCCCGGCACGACGCGACCCTTGCGGGCGACGATCGCTCGGGGGGGGGGGGGGGCTGTCACGGACTGACGGCGCGCTCGTTCCTCACCTCGGCTCCTCAACCAAACGGAGCCCGGTCGCCACCGCCGCCGCCACCGCCGCTCGTCAGCCGCTCACTCCACGTGGTTGGGCTCCAGGAAGGCGGCGAGTTCGTCCGTGTAGTCGCACCGGCTGAGGCTGGAGGCGCTGCGGCTCCGCTTGCTGTGGCCGCAGGAGCCCGGCGATGCCGCCTCCTCGGCGGGCTCCGTCTGCTCCTCGGCACCGGCGCCGCGGTGGTAGAAGTAGTTGAAGTTGGAGACGATGACGGGCACGGGCAGCGCGATGGTGAGCACGCCTGCGATGGCGCACAGCGAGCCCACGATCTTGCCGCCCAGCGTCACGGGGAACATGTCGCCGTAGCCCACCGTGGTCATGGTGACGAGCGACCACCAGAAGGCCTCGGGGATGCTCGTGAATTGCGTGTCCGGCTCGTCCGCCTCGGCGAAGAAGATGGCGCTCGAGAAGAGGATGACCCCGATGAGGAGGAAGAAGATGAGCAGGCCCAGCTCGCGCATGGAGGCGTGCAGCGTCTGCCCGAGGATCTGCAGCCCCTTGGAGTGGCGCGACAGCTTGAAGATCCTGAAGACGCGCACGAGGCGCACCACCCTGAAGATGGCGAGCGACATGCTCTGCTGCCCGTTCGCGGAGCCCGTGTGCTCGGCGAGCTCCGTGCCCAGGGTGATGAAGTAGGGCATGATCGACACGATGTCGATGGAGTTCATGATGTTCTTGAAGAAGCCCGGCTTGCTGGGACACGCGCAGAAGCGGATGAGCAGCTCGAACGAGAACCAGATGATGCAGATCGTCTCCACGATGAAGAAGGGGTCCGTGACGAAGGAGGGCGCCGGCCGCGACTCGGTGCCGTTGGCGAGGGGCCGCGCGCGCGAGTGGAGCTCCTTCTCGTCCCGGAACTCGGGGAGGGTCTCCGCCACGAAGATCACGATGGAGATGACGATGACGAGCACGGACACGATGGCGATGATGCGCGCGGGGCTCGAGCTCTCGGGGTACTCGAAGAGGAGCCACACCTGGCGCTGGAACGCGCTCTCGGGCAGCGGCTTCTCCTCCTCCTTCGCGTAGCCCTCGTCCTCGCGGTAGCGCGTGATGGTCTCCTCGCCGAGCTCGTAGAACTTGACCTCCTCGATGAAGATGTCGTACGGGACGCTGTCGGGCCTCCGCAGCTTCCCCTTGGACTGGTAGTAGTAGAGGATCGCGTCGAAGCTCGGCCGGTTCCTGTCGAAGAAGTACTCGTTGCGCAGGAAGTCGAAGAAGTGCATCCGCCGCGCCGAGTCGCCGAGCAGCGTGTCCGGGAAGTGCGCCAGCGTCTTGAGCTGCGTCTCGAAGCGCAGCCCCGACACGTTGATGACCACGCGCTCGTAGCCCTCGCAGCGGCCCTGCCCGTGGCCGTCCCGCGGGCTGCGCTCTCCGCCCTCCATCCTCGCGCGCTACGAGGCGGCGGCCGCCGCCCTCCGACGGCCTCAGCAGATGCGCTCCTCAGAAGTGAGTGGAGGAACGCGGGACCTCCATGGATCCGCCAGGACTCATGGTGATTGTGCTGCGGGTCTAACCACCCACCCCTACCCTCACACTCTCTCACTCTCCACGCGCCTCTCCCTCGAGGCCTCCTCAGTCGCGCAGACCCGAATCTCCGGGGTTCGCCATCGCCGGGGCCTCTCCGGGCCCCCGCGCTATCGCCGCATGTGACGGGGACCCCAGCAGCGACCCGGGACGGGGCGCAGGGAGGTCGAGGAGGAGGGTGGAGGAGGACCCCTCCGCGGAGGGCGACTCGCGCGCGGGCTCCCGTGCGCTGCTGCTGCTGCAGCTGCCGGCGCGGATCCCTGTGGAGCGAGCGAGCGTCTCCCTCCGTGGAGTGAGGCGCGCGTCCCACGGCTCCCTCAGCCCCCCCCCCCCAAACCTCCCCCCCCAACTCCCAGCGCCGCCCCCCCCCTCCCCGCGTCACCGCTCGCGTCTCCCGCACTCCGCGTACGGCGGCAGAGCGGAGCGCGGAGGTGAGGGCGGCGACCGGGCCTCCCCGCGTCCCCCACACGCGCACGCACACACACACGCGCACACGCACACACACACACGCACGCACACACACACACGCACGCACACACGCACACACACACGCACACACACGTACACACACGCACACGCACGCACACACACACACAGACACACGCGCACACACACACGCACACACACGCACGCACACACACACGCACGCACACACACATACGCACACACACGCACACACGCACGCACACACACGCACACACACACCCACATACACACACAAAAGACAAAGATCCCCCTATAGCCTTAACAGACTGTTGGCACACACACGCACGCACACACCTGTCTGTTCCCAGCCGAGACGTGTGTGTGCGTGTGGCTGTGTGCGGCTGTGACTGTGTGTGTTCGTCTCGTGTGTATGCGTTGTGTGTGTGCGCGTGTATGTGTATGCGTAGTGTGTGTATGCGTTGTGTGTGTGTGCTTGTGTGTGTACTCGTGTGTGTGTGTGCGTGTGTGTGTATGCGTTGTGTATGCGTTGTGTGTGTGTGCTCGTGTGTGTGTATGCGTTGTGTGTGTGTGCTCGTGTGTGTGTGTGAGTTGTGTGTGTGTGCGTGTGTGTGTATGCGTTGTGTGTGTGCGTTGCGTGTGTGTGTATGCGTTGTGTGTGTACTCGTGTGTGTGTATGTGTGCGCGTGTTCGTGTGAGCATGCGCGTGCGATCGCTTGGGTGTGTGCACGGGGAGCGGTGGCGCAGTGGTTAGCGCACTTCGCTAGGAACCCGGCGGCCCGAGTTCGATTCCCGCTCATGGACAACACCGGGGACGATTCTCTGAACCGGTCCTGTACCTCTCCTAGGTCGACTCAGTCTGAAATTAGTACCTTGCGCATTGTGTGAAATCATCGCCACTAGGAAGACAAAGGCGGTCGGGCGTGGTGTTAGCCACAACGCCCCCCCTCGTGTGCCGTGCCGGCCTTCATAGGTGCTCGCCAACAACACTTCCCGCAGCAATGTTACAACTTTGTGTGGCGTCCGTGTGGGGAGCGGCGGACGCAATTGTTGTGACACTGCGACTCCGCCGGTGACCTGGGTTCAACTCCTGGCTGTGGGCGCGCATCTGTTGCAGGCGACAGCACCGTTCCTAAAGCCTCTCCCAGGGCCCTGCCTGGGTTGGACCACCACCACCAACACAACCACCACCAACACCACATACACCACAACCAACAACCTTGCGTGTCCGCCACCGCCCTTGGGCAGCGTGAAGCGTCCCAGCGGGGAAGGCGTTCACCCGTCGTTGCAGACGGTTGTGACCGCGGGTGGATGTCGTCGTCGTTGTTGTTGTTGTCGTCGTCGTTGTCGTCGTTGTCGTCGTTGTTTTTGTTGTCGTTGTCGTTGTTTTTGTTGTCGTTCTTGTTGATGTCGTCGTTCTTGTTGTTGTTGTTGTTCTTGTTGTTGTCGTTGTCGTCGTTCACCACACCCTGTGCACCACGCGCCGTCCGCTTCACCCGCTTGGGTCGTTCGTGATGCCCGCGACGTATGCGGCAAGAGTAGCAGCAGCAGCAGCCCGTTGCTGTTGTTGTTGTGATCGGTGTCGCGGTGAAAACTTGCCATATTTGAACATTTCACCCGTGATAAATATTTACGCGCTCTAACCCCCCCCCCCCCCCAAAACGATATTATGGATGATATTGGTCGCGAAAGCCTGCGTGTTAAACTTATTGGGGATTTATAAGAGTAGGATGTTAAAACACCACACTGAAACGTTTTGAAAGGAATCATGTCTGCATTAACCTCACATACTTTTGGTGAATATGCAGATACAAGAAAATATGTTCTGGTAGGATATGACGCATTGTTTTGGAAACTGTTTGGTCCACACCAGAGACAGCTTTCTTTAGAGCCTCGTGTCAAACAGTGTTAGACCAGAGGACGCCAAAAGGCGAACAGCACAGAGAACATTGAGAGCTCGGGGTGAGCAGCTACATCATGGGACCTCCTTTGCCGGTATCAAATTTTCAGAATAGGTTTTCCCCTTTTTTCTGGCAACAAAACAGCTGTGTTAAGATGTTAAAACACTAAACTGAAACCTTTTGCAAGGAATCATGTCTGCATTAACCACAATACTTGCGGTGAAAATATAAAATATATAGATGTTCCCCTTTCTCTGGTGTGCACCTATCCGTTTCAAAGACAATGAATATACTGTCAGCGCATGTTTTTTCGTTTGTATTTTCACCACAAGTATTTGTGGTTAATGCAGACACATGATTCCTTGCAGAAGGTTTCGGTTTGGTGTTTTGACATCTTAACACAACTGTTTTGTTGCCAGAAAAAAGGGGAAAACCTATTCTTATATATATAGTATCAAAATATAACACTAGGTTTATAGTTTCTGGCAATAAAACAGCTACGTTAAGATGCTAAGACACCAAACTGAAACCTTTTGCAAGGGATCGTGCACTGCATTAACCACACACAAACTTGTGGTGAGCATGCACACTAAAACAACGAGCTCTGGGAGTATGTGATGCCTTTACAACGGGGATTGTTGACAAGGAGCAATCTCCCCCCACCCCCTACTGGCGGACCACAGAACTCGAGCAATTATTGGTGCCGGCTTCTGGCTGCCTTCAATTTCGCCAGTGGATTCCTGCCACGATGAGCCGCTTACAACGAATGGCCCCTTTCAACAGGGGAGGGCCCTCATGCGTGAACACCCCGGGGGAGGGCAGTTCACCAGCACTGCTTCAAGTGAGCCCCAACTCTTGACTGACGAGACAGCGAATGTCAATTCTAGATTTGAAGCTTTCGTGACTGCAAAGATTCATACTCTTAGGTTTTTTCGGTAGAGTCACGTAGGTAAAAAATGAAATAAAAATTAATTAAAGTAAAATAAAAAATCACGACGTTTCGGAGGCAACACAAGCTTCCGTCTTCAGGTGGAACCGTCACAAGTAATCGTGCTGTGACGGTTCCACCTGAAGACGGAAGCTTGTGTTGCCTCCGAAACGTCGTAAAACAATTTTTATTGTATTAATTTTAATTTCATTTTTTACCTACGTGACTTTACCGAAAAACCTAAGAATAGCGAATGTCAAACCGCCGGCGCAGAGTGTGCTCGCATTGAAGCCATGTTGCCGATGAACGAAGCACTGTCAAGACAAGCGCGCGGGTCGAGGCTCGTGTAAAACACACTTCTTCCTTTCGTGTGCGTGTGTGTGCAGAGGAGACACATACGGAAAGGAGTCGATATGTTATTGTTTCCACGTCCACAGAGTCTTTGCCCAGTCACGGCATGCGGCGCGTGGATGCGCGCGCCCTGGGGCCGTGCGGACGGAAGCCCTCGGAGGGAGCAGCGATGTGGAGGAGCTCACGCCACCCATTGTTGCTTCCTTTGAGACATCGCAGCGAATTAGCCGCGGTGCAGATCTCAACCCCGACACAAGTTACAGGCAGCACACACGCCGATGAGATCGTGCGCGGCGTGTGGGCAGAGTAGAGGAACTGGGGTCAGGGTCACAGAGGACGCCATCTGGGGCCCCTGGAACGTGCTGGCGGGTTCGAGATGGGAGGTGCGGTCAGGGCAGAGCCAGGCCGCGCTGGGAGCATTAGAGGAGCAGAGAGCGGGGGGCTCAAAGCTGCCGGTTCTGGGAGTGGTCTCGTCCCGTCGTCGCTGTCGTCTCCGCTAGACATTGCGCTACGAAGGATATTAGTTGCCTATCTCAGTCAGCGCCGTCAGTGTTAGACGGCTCGTGTTGTGTACAGGCCCTAGGCTGAGCTGCTGTGGAGAGCGTCCGGACGAGATCGTGGAAGTTGTTAATAAAGAAGCTGCCCCCTAGAAACTCTGTCTCTGGATCGTTGACACGACACATGCACTTGGCAACCCCCCCCGCGTGTGGGCATCCGATCTGAATTCCAACCCCCGCGCGCACTCGGCGCACGCAGTCTCGCCTGGCTCCGTGGCGCTGGACGAATCAGAACCTTTACTTATCGTGGGCGAATCCGAAGAGCCGTGAAGCTCTTTTCACAGACAAATCAAGCGCCATCAATCCCGGTCACTCCCCGCCACCCCATCTGCACCGTGCAACAAGATCAAGACGCCGCCGTGGCCAAAGCCGCCGATGCCATCACCGGCTTCCTTTGCGAACGCGTCCACCCCTTGCGCTGCTCAGCAGACGCAGTCGACGCCACGGTCGCAGTGGCGCGGGGACTCGCGTTGGTAGCTCAGCGGGTGTGGCAAACGCTCAGGTGGGGCCCCAACACCGTTGTTGAAAACAAATCTCGTGGTGGTGGTTGTCTTGGGGGGCCTCAACTCGGAGCTTTGGCCACCAGGGGTGGTGGGCAAGGCACCCCCTGCCTGCCCCACGCTCGTTACGCCACTGCACAGTCGATATTATTTTACATTACAATTATTTTTATTTTATTTTACCAGGTAAGGCCACCGCTGAGCTACTTAGCTCTTTTTCAGAAGCGACCCGGCTGTCACAAATGCTTGCTCAACGAAGTTGGCGAATCACCGTGGACATGTAGAGCAGCCACATTGCGTTGAAGCTCACGCCGACTGTGAACGTGGAGGGGGGAAACCCGGAGGACCCGGAGAAAAATCAACGCGACCATGGGGAGTGAGGGAGACACCGCAAACTCCCAATATACAGCAGCGGGCGTCAGGGTCGGGATCGAACCCTCCCGTATACGAGGCGAGGTAGTTAGCATCTTGCCCAGCGCCCCAGGAAGGGTGATTGTGATGGTCTCTCCACGGCTTGCGCAACCGCGTTGAGGTGACACATCGCATGTGGCAGCTTGACGCTGTGCCCCGGCGACATCGCGCTCGCTTATCCCAAATGAGTAATCGCACGGACACTGGCGGTGCGATGGGAGACAGCGGCCGTCATCGCCGCTGCATCATCTGGCGGAGAGCGGCCAGATCGACTGACTTCCACCCACACGGGCAAGCCTGCTCTACCCTCACCCCCAACGCTCACCCACATCCCTCACCCACATTCCACTTAGACCACCCCCCCCCTTCTCCCCTTTCTCCCAAACACAAAGATCCCCCGAATAGCTTAAACAGACTGTCGTTGCAAGTGCTGTTAGCAAGCACCTATGAAGGCCGGCACGGCACACGAAAAGGTGGGTGGCCAACACCAGGTCCGGCCGCCTTTGTCTCCCGAGTGGCGATGTTTACGCATCGCACCAGGTACTCATTTGAAGCTCAGTCGAACTAGGGGAGGCTCAGGACCGGTTCAGATAATCATCACTGCTGTTGGCCGAGAGCGGGAATCGAACTCGAGTCTTTGAGTTCGCATCGCAGCGCGCGAACCACTGCACCTCCTTCCCTGCTGACCCCCACCCTCTCCCCCCCCCTCTCCCCCCCCCACGACCCCCCTCTGACCCCCCTTTCACCCCCCTTTGACCCCCACCCTCTCCCCCCCACCACCCCCCTCTGACCCCCCACCCTCTCCCCCCCACCACCCCCCTCTGACCCCCACCCTCTCCCCCCACCACCCCCCTCTGACCCCCACCCTCCCCCCCCCACGACCCCCCTCTGACCCCCCTTTCACCCCCCTTTGACCCCCACCCTCTCCCCCCCCACCACCCCCCTCTGACCCCCCACCCTCTCCCCCCCACCACCCCCCTCTGACCCCCACCCTCTCCCCCCACCACCCCCCTCTGACCCCCACCCTCCCCCCCCCCACGACCCCCCTCTGACCCCCCTTTCACCCCCCTTTGACCCCCACCCTCTCCCCCCCACCACCCCCCTCTGACCCCCCACCCTCTCCCCCCCCCCACGACCCCCCTCTGACCCCCACCCTCTCCCCCCCCCCACGACCCCCCTCTGACCCCCCTTTCACCCCCCTTTGACCCCCACCCTCTCCCCCCAACCACCCCCCTCTGACCCCCCACCCTCTCCCCCCACCACCCCCCTCTGACCCCCACCCTCTCCCCCCACCACCCCCCCACGCCCCCCCACGCCCCCACCCTCTCCCCCCACCACCCCCCTCTGACCCCCACCCTCTCCCCCCACCACCCCCCTCTGACCCCCACCCTCTCCCCCCCCACCACCCCCCTCTGACCCCCACCCTCTCCCCCCACCACCCCCCCACGCCCCCCCACGCCCCCTCCCTCTCCCCGCGGAAGCTTCTGGAGGCGGCGGTGCATTGTGGGCCCCGCTGGTTCGCGTGACGTCGCCCCGGAGGAGGCCGCGGCAGCAGTCGAGCGGCAGGGCGCGATCCGCTTGCAACGCGCAGCAGCAGCAGCAGGAGCAGCAGCAGCAGGAGGAGCAGCAGCAGGAGCAGGAGGAGCAGCAGGAGGAGGAGGAAGGCGCCATGGGGAAGCGCGACACGAGGATTGTAAGCGCACGAGAGCGCGGCCTGGCGCCGTTGAGCGGGCGGACGAATTGGGCCGCCCGCCCCCCCCCCCCCCCGTGGTGTCGGCCTGGCCTAGCAGAGGCCTGGGGGCGGCCTTACGGGGGGCCCGTGGAGGCCGCCTCCGTCGCCTCCCGGGCCAGGCGCGGGCGAGACGCTGCCCGCCGCTGCTGCTGCTGCTGCCGCTGCTGCTACGACTGCTGCTGCTGCCCCCGCGCCGCGTTCGTCGATTGATGAAACGAGCCCCCCCCCCCCCCCGAGCGACCTCCCCCATCGCAATGCCCCCAGAGCCCCCCCCCCCCAGAGCCCCCCCCCCAGAGCCCCCCCCCCGAGCGACCTCCCCCATCGCAATGCCCCCAGAGCCCCCCCCCCAGAGCCCCCCCCCCCAGAGCCCCCCCCCCCGAGCGACCTCCCCCATCGCAATGCCCCCAGAGCCCCCCCCCAGAGCCCCCCCCCCCCAGAGCCCCCCCCCGAGCGACCTCCCCCATCGCAATGCCCCCAGAGCCCCCCCCCCCCCAGAGCCCCCCCCCCCCAGAGCCCCCCCCCCCCAGAGCCCCCCCCCCCCCCAGAGCCCCCCCCCCCAGAGCCCCCCCAGAGCCAGCAACGCTCCCGTTGGCGACGAGTTCAGGCTTCGTGCGGCGCGAAAGAAGTTGACGCGTCAGAGAGTCGAGTCCACCCTGAGAGTACAGACACAGCGACCCTGAGAGTACAGACACAGCGACCCTGAGAGTACAGACACAGCGACCCTGAGAGTACAGACACAGCGACCCTGAGAGTACAGACACAGCGACCCTGAGAGTACAGACACAGCGACCCTGAGAGTACAGACACAGCGACCCTGAGAGTACAGACACAGCGACACTGAGAGTACAGACACAGCGACACTGAGAGTACAGACACAGCGACCCTGAGAGTACAGACACAGCGACCCTGAGAGTACAGACACAGCGACACTGAGAGTACAGACACAGCGACCCTGAGAGTACAGACACAGCGACCCTGAGAGTACAGACACAGCGACACTGAGAGTACAGACACAGCGACACTGAGAGTACAGACAGCGACACTGAGAGTACAGACACAGCGACACTGAGAGTACAGACACAGCGACCCTGAGAGTACAGACACAGCGACACTGAGAGTACAGACAGCGACACTGAGAGTACAGACACAGCGACACTGAGAGTACAGACACAGCGACCCTGAGAGTACAGACACAGCGACCCTGAGAGTACAGACACAGCGACCCTGAGAGTACAGACAGCGACACTGAGAGTACAGACACAGCGACCCTGAGAGTACAGACACAGCGACCCTGAGAGTACAGACACAGCGACCCTGAGAGTACAGACACAGCGACACTGAGAGTACAGACACAGCGACCCTGAGAGTACAGACACAGCGACCCTGAGAGTACAGACACAGCGACCCTGAGAGTACAGACACAGCGACCCTGAGAGTACAGACACAGCGACCCTGAGAGTACAGACACAGCGACCCTGAGAGTACAGACACAGCGACCCTGAGAGTACAGACACAGCGACCCTGAGAGTACAGACACAGCGACCCTGAGAGTACAGACACAGCGACACTGAGAGTACAGACACGGCGACCCTGAGAGTACAGACACGGCGACCCTGAGAGTACAGACACGGCGACACTGAGAGTACAGACACGGCGACCCTGAGAGTACAGACACAGCGACCCTGAGAGTACAGACACAGCGACCCTGAGAGTACAGACACAGCGACCCTGAGAGTACAGACACAGCGACCCTGAGAGTACAGACACAGCGACCCTGAGAGTACAGACACAGCGACCCTGAGAGTACAGACACGGCGACACTGAGAGTACAGACACGGCGACCCTGAGAGTACAGACACAGCGACCCTGAGAGTACAGACACAGCGACCCTGAGAGTACAGACACAGCGACCCTGAGAGTACAGACACAGCGACACTGAGAGTACAGACACAGCGACCCTGAGAGTACAGACACAGCGACACTGAGAGTACAGACACAGCGACACTGAGAGTACAGACACAGCGACCCTGAGAGTACAGACACAGCGACCCTGAGAGTACAGACACAGCGACCCTGAGAGTACAGACACAGCGACCCTGAGAGTACAGACACAGCGACCCTGAGAGTACAGACACAGCGACCCTGAGAGTACAGACACAGCGACCCTGAGAGTACAGACACAGCGACCCTGAGAGTACAGACACAGCGACCCTGAGAGTACAGACACAGCGACCCTGAGAGTACAGACACAGCGACCCTGAGAGTACAGACACAGCGACCCTGAGAGGTACAGACACAGCGACCCTGAGAGTACAGACACAGCGACCCTGAGAGTACAGACACAGCGACCCTGAGAGTACAGACACGGCGACACTGAGAGTACAGACACGGCGACCCTGAGAGTACAGACACAGCGACCCTGAGAGTACAGACACAGCGACCCTGAGAGTACAGACACAGCGACCCTGAGAGTACAGACACAGCGACACTGAGAGTACAGACACAGCGACCCTGAGAGTACAGACACAGCGACACTGAGAGTACAGACACAGCGACACTGAGAGTACAGACACAGCGACCCTGAGAGTACAGACACAGCGACCCTGAGAGTACAGACACGGCGACACTGAGAGTACAGACACGGCGACCCTGAGAGTACAGACACAGCGACCCTGAGAGTACAGACACAGCGACCCTGAGAGTACAGACACAGCGACCCTGAGAGTACAGACACAGCGACCCTGAGAGTACAGACACAGCGACCCTGAGAGTACAGACACAGCGACACTGAGAGTACAGACACAGCGACCCTGAGAGTACAGACACAGCGACCCTGAGAGTACAGACACAGCGACCCTGAGAGTACAGACACAGCGACCCTGAGAGTACAGACACAGCGACCCTGAGAGTACAGACACAGCGACACTGAGACGGGCAGCGGCACGGCAGGCCGTGTGTATGCGCGGCGTCTGCGTGCTTCATGTGCGCGCGTAGATGGGTGTGTTTGGATGGGTGTGTGACTGTGTGCGTAGATGGGTGTGTGTATTGTGTGTGTGTGTGTGACTGGATGGATGTGCATTGCGTGTGTGACTGTGTGGATGGGTGTGCATTGTGGGTGTGTATTGTGTGGATGGGTGTGCATTGTGTGTATGTGACTGGATGGGTGTGCATTGTGTGTATGTAACTGGATGGGTGTGCATTGTGTGTGTGACTGTGTGGATGGGTGTGCATTGTGGGTGTGTATTGTGTGGATGGGTGTGCATTGTGTATGTGACTGTGGATGGGTGTGCATTGTGGGTGTGTATTGTGTGGATGGGTGTGCATTGTGTGTATGTGACTGGATGGGTGTGCATTGTGTATGGGTGTGTATGTGTGGATGGGTGTGCATTGTGTGTATGGGTGTGTATGTGTGGATGGGTGTGCATTGTGTGTATGTGACTGGATGGGTGTGGACTGTGTGTGTGTGGGTGTGCATTGTGTGCATGTGACTGGATGGGTGTGCATTGTGTATGTGTGGATGGGTGTGCATTGTGTCTGGGGAGCGGTAGTGTAGTGGGGAGCGGTGGCTACGAAGCTGACGCCAGGACCCGGTTTGATTTCCGTTCGCGGCCAACACCTGCGACAGATTATTATCTTAACCTGGTCGTGGGCCTCCCCTAGGTTAACTCGGCCTCAAATGAGTATCCGGCACAATGCATAAACATCGCCACTGGGGAGACAAAGGCGGTCGTTCGTGGTGTTACCCACCCCCTCGTGTGCCGTGCCGGCCTTCATAGGTGCTGCTCGCTAACAGCACTTGCCCCAACAGTCTGTTAAGGCTACACGGGGCATCTTTGTGTGTATGTGTATACTACAGTATACAACATTGTTTACGATGTGTGTCAACCAACTGCGTGTGGCAATGTCCCCAAGCGAGATGCCGAGGTCTGCCAGCCACGACGAGAGGGCTTCAGGAGGGGTTGGTGTGGTCTTCATGTTCCGAGCTTAGACGGCACTGCTTTACATTGATGGTTCGTTTAGTAAACCACTAACACGTAGGCTTTCGCGACCAATATCATCCAGAAGACAGGTTTTTTTTGGGTTAGATCACGTAAATCTGGCTGTCGATGGATGATGCTGGTTGTAATTACTGGCGAAACGTAGTACTCAGATTGTAAATGTTGCGGCTTTGCTCTCCAACACACCGGTTAGTGCTGTACTTGTAACTAATTGGCATATTCTGTTTACGTGACAAACCTTACTAATTGGCTGTCGGGTGGTGGAGGGTTTAACGACATATATTTACGTGATTTAACCCAAAATTAACCTGTATTGTGGATAAACAACCCTAGCCTGCGCTCATGTCGGTTGACACCCTTGCAAACCGAGGGTGTTCCATCTTAAGAGATTTTTCGAGGCGATTGTTTTTAAATAATTTCGTGTCGCTGCCACCCCGCGGAGCAGTCGGCAAGTGCCGTGACTGCATCCCCAGAGGCGAGCGACCCGGCCGTGAGCTCCCCGGTGACGAGGGGACTTGGCGAGTTCCCTCGCTGCCGCACGAGCGCAGGCGGCACCCCCGTGACGAACTCCACCGCCTAACCTCCTTGCCCCGTTGTCGCCGCGATGGGGACGAGGCCTGCTCGCTCGGTACCACCGCTGGCTGCTGCTGCTGCCTTTCTCATCTGTTCATGCCCGTCCCTGTGTCCCCCCCCACTCACCCCTCCCCACGCCGCCACGCCGTCCCTCTGTGCGTGTTTTCGTGCGTTCCCTCTCCTCCCCTTCCCTCCCCTTCCGTCTCCTCCCTGTGCGCGTCTCTCCCTGTCACGTGTGCCCCGCCGCCTCACGCAACGTCTCTCTGAGGCCTGGGTAAATCCCATAGCAGCAGCCCGAGCCCGCGGGCCGGCCACCGGTGGTGGGAGCACCATACAGGACTACCTCAACCGGCCGCGGCCGACATGGTAAGGCCGCGCGAAATTCCCCACCCTCCTCGCAGCGCCGTGGGCCCCGCGCTGCATGAGCAATGATAATTAAGTCGCAAGAGTGACTGGTGCTCGTCTTCTGTCCGCAGCCCCGAGGCAGTGGTGGGAACTTCAGCATTCCTACGGAGGGGGGCCCGAGGCTGTCCGTAGGAAATTGAGGCGGTTAGACTACATTGACAGAGAAATGGCCGTAGGCTATGTATAGAGCACGGGATTCCCATAGACCAGGGGTGGGCAACTAAAACAACAAGGAGAGACATTTCTATGGAATTCGGGCCGCAGTGCAATGCGAATACGAGACGGTGATGGTCCTTAATAAATAACGTCACAAAACGGTCCTGAATTGAGGCCACATGAGGCTCCACAGCCACAGGTTGCCGACCCCTGCCCATGGTCAACTGGAGTCCCATGGTAAACTTAGACTCCCACGGTGGACTGGACTCTCATGGTAAATTGCACTTCCATGGTGAACTGTATTCCCATGGTGAACTGTATTCCCATGGTAAACTGGATTTTTAATTTGAACTGGACTCCCATGGTAAACTGGACTCCCATGGTCAGGGGTCGGCAACCAAAATAACAATAGCCACTTTTTTCCGAATTTCAAGAGCCACTCTGCAGTCCTTAAAGAGCCACCGCATGCGGCTCCGGAGCCTGAGGTTGCCGACCCCCTGTCATAGACTACAATGGGGGGGGGGGGGGGGGGGCAATGGAATATCCGTAGATTCTAATGGAGACAACAGATGTCTATATACCGCAATGGAAAATGGAATTGGATTCCAGTTAACCCATCTGGGACTTCCATTTTCCATCATCGGTTTTATTCTGCCCACAAATTGAGCCTCTGCATTGATGGGCGTACATATATACATACTTTACTGGGGCAATATGCTCCTTTTGCATATGCGCGGAATGCGAATTGTGTCTAAAAGTACATGTCACCTATTGCTGCGCTACCCAGGGACGAGGTTAAGGAACAACTGGAAAAGAAGAGGAAAGGGTCCAGGGCTCTTGCAGACTTTGAGGAGAAGATGAACGATGTAAGCCTCTCTCCTGCAGCGTGTTGCCTTCCCAACACCTCTGTCGCGTCACAGTGCACAAGGCGCTGGTACCCATGCATTTCGGTTTCTCTTTAAAGTTGTTGATAGTGCTTTACAATAAATATCGGCGGTTGTATCAGTTTGGTGATTAAATGTAATACTGCCGTGTAATATCTTTCCACATTGCAGGTCTGTCCCAATGTCCATTATTCAAAACAAGTGTGGCATTGTTACAGAAAAAACTTTATACAAATGCTACAAAATGTGATACTTTTTTTCCAGTATCAAAGTGTGAAAAATAAAGAATAGGTGTTACCCTTTCTGGCAATGAAACAATTGTGTTAAGATGTTCAAACACCAAATGGAAACCTTTTGCAAGGAATCAAGTTCGCATTAACCACACGTACTTGTGGTGAACATGCAAACAAACATGTTCTGATAATATATGGGCATTGTCTTTGAAACTGACAGGCCTACACCAGAGACAGCCTTCTTTAGGTCCTAGTCTCAAATACAATGCACTCTCAGAGCATTTAGTGTAAACCCTGTTCTTATTTTTTCATACTTTGATACTGTAAAAAGGTCCCGTTTTGTAGCTGCTCACCCCGAGCTATAAATGCTCTGAGGGTGCATCGTCTTTGAACTGTTCGACTTTTCATCTTCTTTTGGCATTCTCTGGTCTGACACTTGTGAGACTAAGCCCTAAAGAAGGCCCTCTCTGGTGTAGGCCAGTCCGTTTCAAAGACGATGCATTTATTATCAGACCGTGTGTTTGCATGTTCACCACAAGTACGTGTGGTTACTCCGAACCTGATTCCTTGCAAAAGGTTTCTATTTGGTGTTTGAACATATTAACACCCGTTTTATTGCCAGAAAGGGTAAAACCTATTATTAATTTTTCATCCTTGTACAAATGCTGATTTTAATATTAATTTGTATCCATTTCACCCGTCCAGCTGGAGAAGAGCTGCCCGGAAAAAGTTATCACAAACTGTACCTTCCCTTGGTTACCTGCAACGGTGTGGATCAGCTGTGTCGTCCACACCCCGTGTGCCGCAGGATTTCAAGAAGGAACTTGAGCAGCAAAGAGAGAGGCTACTGAACAGAAAGGAGGAGGTTCCTGTACCCACCCCAGGGTTGCTGGGAGTTCCGGGCACTCCGAACGTGTCCCTCATCCCCGCTGCCTCGGGGGGTCCTTGCGTGCCGGGCATCGTGGCGATGCTGGCTGCTCAGGTGATCGCTGTTGCGCGTGTGGCTTCACTCAAGCCTGCCCCGGCTTGGATTAGTCCACTCTTGAGAAAGTTTTGGCTGCAGATAAATGCGTTTGGCGTGTTGTGACGCATTGAATTATCTGCGTCTCTTATTTTTTTGCAGAAGAAGCCACCAAAAGAGAAGAAGAAAAGGGTGAGGCGGTTTGGACTTGTCCTTATTTGTCATTCTACGCAACACTCCACTGGTTTAGATGTCGCAAAGTGGTTTCCTTGCTCCAGTGAGCACTGAGTTGTGGATCCTCAACTGCCGCCCCTTCCCAACGCCGAGTCAGTGGCGGATATTCTGCATTCCTTTTGAGAGGGGGATAAAAGTGGCACATTTTTGTTATCTACCGCAGGGGGATGATGGGCTGATTAAACCACCCAGTTAGGATGTGAATTCAGTCTATTAATTGGGAGCAGCTCGCTCTTTACACTGAGACACCTGGCTGGATTTTTTTGGTATGTTTAGATTCCAACTTGGTGTAGCGCATCATTGTAAAAAATTAAAAAATATTATTATTTGCTTTAAATATTTATGTAATTAATCAAATTAAGGTTCAGCTGACAGCAAGCAGAAACCTGAACAGTTAACTATTTTTGTGACCTATAAAGTTACATTCATCTTGGAATGACATTGCACAGTTCTACGATTAACACCACATTTGTATGAAACTTATCCCAGTGCCCTTGATTTTACCAGGAAATTAACTAAATCCGTAGCAACTCGTGAACCATCGCCTGCTTTGCAAGGGCACCGCGAGTTAATTCCCAACTCCTTTAATTCCAAACACCATGGTGTTTTTTTTACAGGAAGTGGTAGTCATCCGGGCAGATTTTTAGTGCAGTTATGCATCGTGTTTTTCTACCTCTCTGCAATTGATATCATTGATATCTTCCGCTTGGTGACACCGACGCCAAGTGGTCTGGCGAAGGCTCGTGTCCCGCACTGACCCGGTATAAAAGTCTAATGAAGGTGTTGTCTTTTTCGGTCAAGCACTCTTCATCCTCCTCATCTTCAAGTTCTGATTCATCTAGCAGCTCTGAAGATGAAGACAAGGTAAGGAGGTGTTGGCACCACGATTGACCCCTCTACTCATTCGGTGTGTAATCGTGAGATCCTTTCGTGAGTTATATCAGGCGCGGCTTCGTATTTTGTAAAAAAAAATAACAAACGAAGGTTGTGACTTTGCCTGGTGGAATGATCAACTTTAAACACAATGTGCAGCAATAACATTACGTGTGGCGCAGACGGCACCGTGCTGACGCTACGCACTTTATTTCTGGTGCCAGCCTTTGCACAGCAATACACCGTTCTGCTTCTGCTTTCCTTTACAGTAAAAACTTGGATTGCGAGTAACTTGGTCTGCGAGTGTTTTGCAAGATGAGCAAACATTTAAAATAAATATTAATTTGATAAACGAGCGAGGTCTTGCAATACGAGTAGTACGTGTATAGGGCTTTGTCTGCCGAGCGTCACGTGATCACAACTGATATAAGAGTGCTTTGATATACGAGTGCTTTGGATTACAAACACGTTTTCAGAACGAATTATGCTCGAAATCCAAGGTTTTACTGTACTTTGCACTCCGATCATTTTGCGTACTGTTTGGTTGTTGTAACTGTCTGAGCCGCCCCGACTGGACATCTGCGAAAAAGAGCTTCATGGCTCATCGGGTTTTTCCAGAATAAACAAAGATTCTTGATTCTGAACCTTACCTGTGGCGCGGACGGCACCGTGCTAACTCTCCACACTTCATGTCTGGTGCCAGCCTTGGCACGGCGTGTAATGCTGCACCGCTGTGCGTTTGTTTTAAAGAGCCACAGGAAGAGGAAGAAGAAAAAGAAGAACAAGAAGAAGAGGAGCAAGAGGAAGTACCATTTTGTGGAGAAGATGGCCGAAGATTGCTCCGCGCCCGCTACCGTGGCACCGCCGCCGCAGCTGATAGGGCCCATGCCGGCGCCCGTGGCCATGGGACCCAAGGCCCTGTCGGTGGCCCCGGGGCCTGCGTCCGTGTCCTTGCCCTCGGTCTCCGCGGTGAAAAAGGCGGCATCACCGGCGGCGACGGCGGCGGCGGGGACCGCATCGGCAGCACCGGCGCCCGTAGCGCGTGAACACTCGGTGGATAGCGAGGTGGGTGGCACGGACACAACGAAAGCGACGTATTCGCGCGATTTTATACACCGTCGAGTGCGTAGGTCAACAGCATTACATGCCACAACTCTCACTATCTTACATTTGTCCATTTTAGTAACTCTAAAAACAGGATTAGACATAGTGGACATCAATGAGATGACTGGATGTGCATTTTTGCCACGATGCAAAATGGGTAACCCCTACCTGTTAGTGTAAAACACTCAAGTGCAGTGATGCAAACTACAGCAAACCCTTCCCTCTCGCGGGTTTGGCTCTCGGGGTTTCGCGCCATATTTATTGAGGTCCAGATCGCCGATCTCGCCCCTTGCGACTCGACCATTTGCGGTGACTGCACTGCTCGCGACGATGAAGCCGCGGCGCCATCTTGTCTCTCAAGCAGCCCACCGCGGGTCCCGGGGTCACGCGGTGGACCCAACCTCCGTTGAGGCAGTGACGTTCAGCCGCACGATTTATCCTCCTGTAGTGCACACCACGTGATGTTCTTTCATTCTGTACATTTACCGTACAAGTTGTGTTTAACGCTCGAATATATTGGTGAATTTTTACTCTATGAAAAAATTATGCTTCCTTTTGAGTGTTTGTGTCGATGTAGGGTAACGTAAAACAAAAGGAGGGGGTGTCGTATTACAAACGGTGAACGAAACCCCGTATGCCTTTTGTGTTTGCGGACCGCGGATTTGCCGATTGCGGTTGAAAGGGCAATAGTCAGTCTTGCACACGGCGGTTTGCACATTGCTCGTTCACGATGTAAGATTCCGCTCGTTGTCGCATTGCCGTGCTGCAGAGCTCCAAGTCGAAGAAGAGGAAGAAGAAACACAAGAAGCACGGCAAGAAGAAGCGAATGCGCTCCCCCTCCTCGCCCAAGTCCGGCTGATGTCGCCAGACCCCCCACGGCAGAAGCTGTGGCCACCCCTCATCCGTCAAGCAGCAGCATCTCCTCGACCGCACACCGTTGCTCACAAAAACACCCACCACATCTACCCTCTTCTTTAGTTGACTTGACCAAAAATGTGAGTCCCCGTGGTCAACAATTCAATGAAGTTGTCCGGTGTGGTGGGCGTACAGGAGGGGAGGGGGGGGGGCGCTCCCCGTCCAGTGATGCAGAGGTCGCCACCGGACACTCGTGCGTGCCAGCGCCGCACTGCATGTTCATTTTTATTGCATGGAGCAGGGAAAGTCGGGTGGTGCGGAGTGGGGGGGAGGGTGGCTTCAGAATGCGGTGCATGGCGGCAGGAAAGCCGGCAAGCGTTTTGCGGTGCTTCTTCACGGTGCCGTGTCTCGGCGCAAGTGCTCGGAGCGCCGGCCCATCTGCCCCGGATGCTTGGCGGGCTCCAGCTGGATTTGGAGCCAGTTGGGGCACGCCGACCTCGCGTGCCCTGTCCAGTGACTCGTATCAGAACAAGGGGGAATGGGGGAGAGGATCCCGCCGCTGAGGTTTTCTGGATAGATCCTTAGTCGCTGGTCAAAATGCAAACCTTTTCGGACGGCGAAAGTGGCATGCCTAAGACGAGAGCAAATCTGAATGAAATGTCAACGCTCCAAAATAAGGCGGTGGGCAGGCGGGCACGCACTTTGATTGTTGCCATTTTTATCGGGTGGGGGGGCGGGGGGCTGCGCATCGCTCCTTTCTCCGCACGCGGTTCCCCGGGCCGGCGGTGGACGAAGCGTGCGGTGGCTCCACCCGCCGGGAGGCGTTTTCCCCACGTGTGCATGCCACGGGCGGTGGTGACGGCCGCGGTTAATGCCAGCGAGTGAACCTTGTATATAATAAGCTCACGGAGGTCGCGCGACGTGTGTGTAAGTAAAAAAAACATGTCCACGAGAACCCTTTGTTTACGCACCCGTCGCGTCTGTAAGCGTCGAGTGGCTGTTGCATGTTAGGGGTCTTAAGTGCCACCGTCGTCGCTACATGTGGTGTGTAATCTGTTCATAGCGTAACATAGGCGCATTGTGTACACGGGGGGGGGGGGGGTTAGGGGAGGGGGAGTGGAGTTATTTATGAAGGTGTCTCGCGTCCACGCATCACTGCTATCGCTCTCTCGCAGGGGGGTCGGAGGGGGGGGTTGAGACGCAGTGCGATTTGGACAACACGGACGCGCGGGGGGGGGGGCTTACGCAGCTGTCCGCGGGTGGGATTCCTCAATGGGAGCGCCTTCCTCCTCGCCGCAGTCTGTGGCTTCATATTGAAGTTGCGGAGCTTTCGCAGCGCTTGGCATCTTGCTAAAAAAATGTGCTCACATCTTGAAAATGGCAAAAATCGTTATTTTTAAAATAAACTTTGCTCGCCTTGGTTATGGGTTTTTTTTGGTTTGGTACATCACTGCAGTGGCAGTTGCTTGACTAAATGTACGTATAAAGTAGCACGTTCGTTTGGCAGTCTCGTAAGCTCTGTCGAGTAGGAGGGGGCCCTAATAAACCCAGGAAGTGGCCACACTTGCTCACGCGCGGTCAGGCGTGGCCACCGCGTCCCGGTGTGCAGGGCGTGTGCAGGGTGCGGCGAGCGCGCCCGGGCAAAACACTGCAGGTACGCACACCTGTAACGGTGGGGGGGGGGGGGCTCCGTTACCTGCGTCTTGCTGAGTGCGTGGGCGGCCCGGTTGTGACGAACCCCACCGCCGCCACCGCACCCGTTCACTTTGTAGATTGACAACCACGCTTCCTCGTACATCCACATATCGGGGTTGTGCCAACGATAACCTGGTCCTCGTTTTCTGGATCGCTAGCGGTTCCGGAAAAAAATCTGGAACCGGTTAACGTTTTCGGGGGTTACTTTAATGAATGCATCGATTGTCCGACGCGCCACCGATTAGCATGGTGGTCTATGGTACAGCGCGAAATAAGTTGAACATGCTGAATGATAACCGGTCATCATTTTCTGGATTAATAGCGGTTCCTAAACATCTGGAGCTTGGCAATCGTTTTCAGGGGGGGGGGTGTGGAGGGGGAATTTTAGTCATGAATCCATCGGTCGGCGAACACGCCCCCGATTAAGCACGGTTTGGCTCCGTACGTTGCGAAAGAAGTTCAGCATGCGTACAAAACAGCACGGTGGCCCAAGTCACCAAAGGTTAAAGGTTAAACGCTGAACTTTGTTACTCGCGCCGCTGTAGGCAGGGAGCCCTCCAGCAGAGGGAGTTGCTCGTGTGGGCTCCCCATGCCGACCAGGCGCCTTTAAAAGGAGTGGTCGGAACCAACGCCCCCTCTACCCCAACACCACCACCACCTCTACCCCAACACCACCACCACCACCACAGCAGCACGCGTTCTGCCTGCACATCGACTGGCGGGCAACCCCATTCACACCGCATGCAGCGAGCAGCGGAAGGAACGGGGGGGGGGGGGGGTCGAACAAACTTTCACCGTTGTTTTTTTATTGAACTTCCGCGCCGACAGATGGTATCCACCCGGCTCCTCCTGGATTACAAGTGCAGCCCCGGTGTGGTGGCCATTCCACCACGGCAGCTCCCCGCGATGTTCAGTTGGAAAAAGTAAATAAAATTATTTTTTAGTTATTTCGGTAAAGTCACGTAGACCGAAAAAGTCTAATAAATAAATAATGATCAATACAATTTACATTTAAATAAAACAAATAAAATGGTGCGCCTTATTTGTGTGAGTTAAAATGGCAACCCGGTGATTTTATTCTCCCATGTGGTCACCCGTACAGGAATGCAAATAAAGATTTTAAGAACCGGTGTGTATTGGGGGGGGGGGGGGGGGGTGACACAAAGACGCTCCCGAGATGTGCTCGCCGTTCTCGTCAAGAGGTTGGGGGGGGGGGCTCTCACCGCGATGTTCATCGTGTTCAGTCGCATTGGCACAACGTGGTGCACTGGCCACGGTGCGAGGTGGGGGTTGGTGGTGGGGAGTAACGGGGGAGCTGTGAACGGTGTCACCGCGCGCCCCAGGGCCCTCTGCGAGCAGGCAGCAGGAGTGGCGCTCCGCCACATTCCTCAGTCGGGAGGGAGCGCAGGGAGATGCGGCGTTGACCGCAGAGGAGCAGAGGGTGGGGTTCGTCACTGAGACGGCGCGGGGGTAGGTGGGGAGTGGGTGGGTGGGTGGGGGGTAAAGGAAGTGGTGGTGGCTTGGCGGAGTCACGGCATCATAAAAGACAGTGCGGAGGCGCGCGTGGTCACGGCACCGAGGGAGCGCGCACAGCGGCGAGACTCGAGGCGGGGTTTGGATACAAAGGTGAGGGCGGATAGCGGCAGGTGATCTCGGCGGTGGGGAGGGAGCGGACCCCTTACTCGGGCACGAGTCGACGTGGGGTGACGCTGAGACAAGGGGAGGCGTGGAGATAAGACTGCTGCCGGGTTTGTGGGTGGGCGGGCAGCTCACAGACAGGTGAATCGGGGTTAAGTCCGAGACAGGCGAGCGAGCTCGCTCCCCACCAATTGGACCGGTCTCGGGGCTTTGGAGGCGAGCGGCGTGAATTGAAATCCCGGCGCCTCGTAGCGCAGGAGCGAAGGGCGCGGCTACCTCGCCTGGCGAGCGGTGTGCGGTGATCGATCCGATGGGCGCGAAGGAGGCCCTCGTGTTCCTGGCCCTGCTGGGCCCCGTGGGTGCTTTCAACCTGGACCCCGCTGGGGCGCTGCTCAAGACCCAGCCGGGGAAGGGGCTCTTCGGCTTCTCGCTCGCGTTCCACACGCCCAGGACTGGCGCGCCCCCGGAGTAAGTGCCACCTGCACCGTCACATCTCTTACACCCTGCACTGTTACATCTCTACACCCATCACAGTATCTAACACCCAAGCAAGTTCTTGGGAAAGATTCACGACTCCGGCACGTGTGTGTGAGAAGTTTGTATGTTCTCCCCTTGTTCTGCACGGCCTTCCTCTGGGATTCTCCGGTTGTCCTCCCATAGGTGGAAGAAAACAAAAATGAAGCTGGGAATTTGCCAAACATCACGATGCTGAAATAACACCTGAAAAATATATTCAATTTTAGATCGCGCAGCAGCAGCAGCATCGCCCCCTACTGCGAAAACTTGATAGGGCCCTCGGGGAAGAGTTGAAACTGAGTATTTTCTGGGGTAAACAAACGGAATAATAAAGAATCATCAATACTGTAGTCATACACTCGGCACATCGCGACAGCAGCAGCGAGTGCACGTCCATAATTCACGGCCGCAGCGCCTGCAGTCATTATTCGTAATGGAGGTTTTTGGGTGAGATCGCGTAAATATAGATGTGTCGTTAAACCCGCCACCACCCTACAGAGACAATTAGCAAGGGTTGTCACGGAAACGAAACGCGCCAATTCGTTTTCGTTACTTGTGCAGCACACTGCTGTGTTGTCGAGTAAACCCACGGCATTTACAATTCGAGTACGACGCTTCGTCAGGAATTACAACCAGCATCATCAGGCGACAGATAGAGTGGTGGAGAAATTCTCCCGTGTAGGTTTTTAAAAAATTGGTTCGCCCAGGTAGATGCAAACCCCAGGTGTGTCAGCTCACAGGTGTGTGTGTGCAGGCCGATGCCTACAAGTGGGGAACGGTAGCGCAGCGACGGCCCGAATTCGATTCCCGCTCACGGCTGGTGCCAGTGACAATTATCAGAACTGGTCCTGGGCCTCCCCCAGGCTTAGATGAGTAGCTCGTGCGATGCAGAAACATCGCCACTCGAGAGACAAAGGCGGCCGTGCGTGGTGCTGGCCACCCACCCGCCTGGCGCGACGTCCTGACCTTCATAGGTGCTGCTCGCTAACAGCACTTGACCCAACAGTCCGTGAAGGCTACACGGGGAGGGGAAAGGGGGGGGGGTCTTTGTAGGTTTGATGCCAGCACGTGTGGCCAGGTTGTGTATGTTAGGGGTTTGTTGTTAAGCACCCTTAGCCAAACAGCATAAGATAGCAGCAGAGATGTCACTTCCGTGGACACGGCGCGGGGGCCAGTGCTGGATTAAGCTACTGCGGGGCCTGTAGCGTATGTTATAAAGGGGTCCTAAATAAAAAATAACAAATAAAACACATAGATTTTGTTTTACTTGCATAGTGTAGTAATTGTATTTTTTCATTTGATATACATCCAGATAATACGACAAATCGCTAACCTTAAACACCCAATCGTCCATTAAAGTTGAAGGCGGTATAGTACTATAGTAATTGAGTAAGTGCAGAATCACTGAACCGGAATTGATAGCTTGAAAGCATTTAGCGCGGGGCCCTTGAAAGTGTGGGGCCCATAGCTACTACATATGTAGTAGATACTACATATGTAGTAGATACTACATGTGTAGTAGATACTACATGTGTAGTAGATACTACATGTGTAGTAGATACTACATGTGTAGTAGATACTACATGTGTAGCTACTCGTGCTTCTAGGAGAATCCGGACACTGGGGGGGACGTGTCGGAGGGGGGCGATGAGTTGAGAGGAGGGACGACAGGGAGAGAGAGAGAGCGGGAGAGGGACAGAGGAGCAGGACGATGATGACAAGATGGCGTTTGAGACTGGGAGATCCGCGTGTCAATAAAGGGAGCCCTCTCCCTCCCTATGTGGAGCCTCCGTGCCCCCTTCCCTTACACAAGGCATGCAGTGTGCGTCAGAGCCGTATCCGTGAGGTGGTGCTCGAGTCTTCTGAGCAGCTGCCACCAGCGCAGGGACCTGGCAATCGGTGGTGGAAATGCGCTGCTCGCGAGAGGCGGGGGTGGACACGGACCGGCGGCTTTGGCCACGAACCGGCGGCTGGGGAGTTTGATGACCCGTGAACAATCCCCGTTGAACGTTCGAGACGGCGGTGTTTGGTCAGGATTTAGGATTTTTCTAAATTCTAGACCGGGGGGCGTGCAGGTGTGTGAGCTTACATTTGCGTGTAGTTGTGCAATAACGTCGGTGGGTAGGCTTTACAGGCGGGTGAGTAGGTCGACACAAGTGAGCAGGCTGACTTCTAGTGAGTCGGCTTACAGGTGAGGAGGCTTGTAGGTGAGTAGGTTGACGCACAGGTGAGGAAGCTGACACACACAGGTGAGGAAGCTGACACACCAGTCCGTACCTGGAGGGCACCCAAAGTGAGTCAACATTTAACGATTTCCCGTGTGCTGGAGGGCGGGGGGAAGAGAGGTGGCTGGGTAGCGGGTAAAGGGGGTTGGTGGGTGGAGGCGTAGCGGGGGTGGAGGGGTAGGGGGGGGTAGAGGTGGTGGTGTTAGTAGTGGTAGAGGTAGTAGATGTGATGGTAGAGGTAGTGGAGTTGGTGGTGGTAGGGGTGGTGGTGGTAGTAGAGGTGGTGGTAGAGGTGGTGGAGGTGGTGGTGGTAGAGGTGGTGATGGTGGTAGTAGAGGTGGTGGTAAA